CATTGAATTCTGCTGGATAATTGCGAAAGGGTGGAGCCTCCTTAACTGCTTTCAAATGCGGTTCATGGGCAAGATGAATGCCCGCTGCATAACATGGACATACCACGAACAGTGTCGGAGACCTGTTTTAAACATAAATTTACATTTTCACGTCTCTCTGTCTTTTAATAAAGTAATAATGACATTAAAAAAAATCCATTCACGATTCACTGAAATGTTCGACTGATGGAAGTCGAAGCACGTGCATTGTCCTGGAACTTTTTTTTTTAAATATAGTCTTTGGACAGAATAGCCGTAAGATATGTTTTCACTAGTTCGTACTAACTTTATGTCATACTTTATATTTTAACAATGATATAAAAACATTTAAAACATAACAATATTGTTTCACAGTATGATATCTGACATCGTTTGCTAATGATGTCACACCGCGGAGGCATGTCCGTTGAAATCGGAAAACTGAGTAATTGGGTTGCCTTGGAAAGCATGTCGCTTTCCTGTTATTTGCTGATATAAAAGAAACATTTTGATTGTTGTTGTGGCAAGGAACTTGGAGAGGCGTACTAATACAGTTTATATACTTGTATACTTTATATACGGTTATCATACTCGACCGATGGGTAGTCATCATGTGCCTTTAAAAGCACATGAAGTACAGATATCCTAGTACAACGGATTAACGTGGCTATTACCATTTGAAAACATGATGAATAAATCTCTCCTCGCAGCGTGATTAGTCACCCCTTTAAAAACTATGAACATGGCTCTGCTGATGTCACGACTTTCTAATGTTTAAACAGAAAAGAGCTAAACAATTTACCTTTTACGCTGACTTGCACACTTTCTGATTTGACGATACCAGCAACAGATTCTGCTGTACATGTGTACATCCCCTGATCCGATTTATGTAGGTTCGTCAACCGGAGAGTTCCAGTGCTCAAGTCGTGTGCTATTTGAATTCCGTTCCTAGACCTAAAATCAAAGAATGGTGACGGTTAATACATGTAATATTATAAAGCGATAAAAGTGATGTATACCTTTTATCGTCGTTTGATTTCTTCTGATATAAATGTGACAATAAATTGTGTGTCGATAAGGTCGCTGGATTCGAATGTGAATTAACGCCTTGTATCATAAAGTATATAATCATATAAATGTGTTTGCTACTCACCACGAGTATTTCATCACGGCCGGAAAACCTTTAGCGTAACAACACAGTGATGCAGCCTGTCCCACAAATCTGTACTTGTTGACTGGCTGTTTTTCAATCCTCGGCTTCTCTGTAAATTGTTAATACGTTACATTCAAATCAATTTGTAAATCTGAACAAGTTAATTGTTATTTATTAGGTAATATTATTATTTATAAAAAAAAATTGTCATAAAACGAATTGCATTTCATTTCTTCTATTGTGATATTATGAAATGACATTATCAAAATTTTGTCTGTTCATAAATAACCACCATTCATGTTTGTAATTTTGATAAGTAATACAACACTTGTTTTGTTAGTTTTGTTAACGATTATTTTTCTCGGGACGTTTCCTAATACAAAGGTACTGAATACTTAGTTTACTTATTATATTAGGGAAGTATATTATAAACATTATAACTATAACAAATAACACTAATACATTAGCTGTTCATTATACATTCATATTTATGATAAAATATACACTTACAGATTTTGCTCTAGGTAGGAAAAAATGCGATTGTTTAGTATTGCACAAATATATTCAGGTTAGGTCTATTATATACCATTTTATATTTCATACCACACGTACATCTTGCAACATTTGGGTCACTCTCAATTAAAAAAAAGCATTCATAGCATCATTAATTATTATTTGTAACAGACTCGTCACACGCCTCTCCTTTAATCATGGGCCCGGTGTGCCCTTCTTATGTTGTCTTAATACAGGTAAATATTAGCCGAACACTACTTAGCTATTTTACGAGTTTAGAACAAAAGAAACTAAAATTCATCAATAACAAAAATATCTAAGAGAGTATTTACATATTGCAAAAAACTCTTACCATATTTCCGTAACACGCCATTAGCTTGTTGAAAGGTAACATTCAATGAAACGGCAGTCGTTTCGTTTTGCATGAACCCTTCTTTCTTGAACAACAGTTTAGTGGCAGAGGCACATAGACTCTGTACCCGATACTCTCC